ACAACAACAACAACAACAACAACAACCACAACAACAGCAACAGCAACAGCAACAGCAACAGCAGCAGCAGCAGCAACAACGACAGCAGCAGCAGCAGCAGCAACAACAACAACAGCAGCAGCAGCAGCAGCAACAACAACAACAACAGCAGCAGCAGCAGCAGCAGCAGCAGCAGCAACAACAGCAGCAGCAGCAACAACAACAACAACAACAGCAGCAGCAGCAGCAACAACAACAACAACAAGCCCTTGTTCTTGTCAGCTCACTTGGCGGCCAGGAAGAGAAGTGTCTGTCCGCAAGTATTCGTCTTGTCCTTCTGGGCGCCGGCCTGCAGAAGATAGCGCACCTCACTCGAGCACCTAAGAAACCGTTGGTACTGTGGATGGTTACGAAATCCTGTTAGGCACCACCTAAGAAACCCTGGAATCGGATGATTCCCGTGTAAACAATGAAAAGTGGTTTCAACCATGGTTTCAAAGAGCTGCGAACGGATTTCTCCCATCCACAGTATTATGAAGACTAGGTCCTCCAGTTTTGGAGGTTAGAAGAAGGGTACCCGAGCTTTTTCCTGTAGTCTATTTTAGTAGGGGAACCCTCCCAACCAAAAAAGGGGTGAGAAGGGCACTACTGGCAGACCTAGAAGATTTATAAGTTTATGCTCTGGGCCTTATAATAATCTTAGGTAAACCAGAATCACCTGCCCAAGGGACCTGAAAATAAAAGGTGATCACCTTTTGGGGCCATGACTACAAAAGGCGACCAAGAAGGGATAATCAAAAGGTCGGCTTTGGGCAACTGAGCAGATAGTTATCAGAATATGCGGTTTCTCTGAAGGACATGGGGAACTAAGTGAGTTCCCCTGATTGCAACAAACAAATAAGTCTCCTCAGGTCAATTCCCGAAAGGACTATAGACTATTGATATTTTGACCGAACATCACATATCCTATTGACTAAGCTGTGTGTGCTTCTCAATGTGCATTACATATATAATATGCATATGTTACGTTCTTGGTATGCAATGGCAATATAGGACTCGCTTGCTCTCAGGGAAATTCAGGAATGCCCGCAAACACCAACCACTGTTGAGTTGTTTCGTGAAGTGCTTGGAATAGTCATTCCCATATTCGCTGCCAAACACAAGCACAATGATGCGATGAGGTAATTCGGAAAGTCCAAAGGTCGATTCGCTTTGATTGCAAGTGAGGCACGCAAAGGTCTTGCCCCAAGTCCGCAGCCACACACAAAGCTGTAAAGCCGCAGCACGCATGCGGCTTATGCTTTCCTTCATCGTTGCCCTTGTCCTTGTCAGCGCCTGCCTCAACGAGAGAGCGGACCACTGCCTCATGGCCACGTCTGGCGGCAGCAAGCAAGGGAGTCGAACCAAGCTTCGTGACTGCTTCAGTGGGCGCGTCTCTTTCCAGCAAGCAGCGGACGATGTCCTGGTGTCCAGCCTGTGCGGCACAAAGCAAAGGTGTCCTGCCCTGGCTGTCAGCCCTGTCCACGCGAGCTCTGGCCTCTAACAAGCGCAATACCGACGGCAAACACCCTGAAAGTGCGGCCAGAAGCAGAGGCGTCTCACCCGAATGGTTCGTTGCCTCCTTGTCGGCGCCAGCCTCCAGCAAAGCACGCACCACATCAGCATGACCTTCCCCGGCAGCAACCAACAAAGGAGTCTTTCCATCACGGTCAACCGCCTCCAACTCTGCTCCACACGCCAGCAAACACCCGACAATATCCTTGTGGCCTGCCTGAGCCGCCGCGTGCAAACCTGTGAACGTCAAAAACGGCTCAACCGCGTTTGGGTCGAAAGGCATCTCCAGCCAGCTCACCAAGGGAGCGACGTAGCCCGCTCTAGCAGTTGCCACAAATTCGGCGGGACTCACTTCGTTGCCTTGGCTTCAACGCTTGTGCTGCCCTCATTCTGCGGCTGCTGAAATGGAAGATATGGAGATTGAACAGGATGCAAAATGCAAGAGGGAATTTTGCAAATGAACCGCTAGTGCCGAAAAACCACATCTACTGAATCCTGCACCTGTTTCCAAGTGAAAGAGAGACAAACGAACGTGTGCGGTTCCAGGCACCTTGGATCCCTCCGCTGGTTCCAGAAAAAACTTTTCGGCATTTTGTTGGTGGCTTGGATTAGTGGCTTAGCAGTTCAGGGGGGTACCTTCCCATTTAGTTTCAAGAACAACTCGAGCTGCGGTTCAAGTCCAACCCCCAATTCACCAATTCAAACAAGAAGGCGACACAGGCCCAGATTTGTTCTAGGCGGAAACAAAAAAAACGGCTGCCATGGGTCGCGCCCGTTCCAGGTTGCTTACATACTGCCTCACCACCGCGGTCAGTTGGGAGACATTGACCAAGTCCTGCCGGTTTGACCCTCCAAGCTTCTCAGAGTTTGGTCAAAGGACGCGGAAAGGACATCTTCAAATCGGTGAGACAAGAAACCGCTGGGAAACAAGCTATGACAAGGGAGCAAGCGCAAGCAAGAAGACAAATGTGGGGAGACCAGTGGGGGAGACAAGTGGGGAGACAAGCCCCGGCAAGGCCCGAGTGGTGCAAGGGCAAGGGAGACAAGAAGCGAGCAGGGAGACCAGCCTTCACGAGGTCCGAATCACCAGGCATCACCAAGCAGCAGAGCGACAAGTGGGGAGACAGCAGTACCGGGTATACCAGGTAGAAACTACTGCGGATGGACGAAATCCATTTCGCGCCACACTGAAACCATGACAAGCCATTGTTTGCTGGTATTTATGGGGGGAGTCAACATTTCAGGCTTTCTGAGATGGTGCAGGTACAAGCGCTTTTTACTTGGAAAGAGAGAGACCCAGCACCCCGCCGGGCCAATGTCCTCGTGATCCCCCACCAGGACCAGCTGCCGGAAGTTGGGGAGGCCCATCCGGCGCGCCACAGCGATGCGCAGCTCCAGCCAGTGGTCGCCGAGATCTTCAGCCGACTGCTCCTGGCCGCGGTTTGAACCACGGGAAACGGTGAACAGGCAACCACACGTCGACTCAGAACTCAGCAGTCAAATTAACCAATCCAATGACGTGGTCGTCCTTTTTCATTTGTAAGGATGGGGTGATTCAAGCAAACGGCGTTCTTCTGGCGAAAGAATCACCATAGTTACTGATGATAGTTGGAATGTATTGAAACCTCCAAGTCAACATTCCCTTCACCAAATCAAAAGAGAGATGCTCCCCCAACCGGAAACTTCAAATCGTTCAATCATCCCCTTGCCAGCAGAGACACTCCCCAAACTCAACCAAAATATGTAAAAATGGAGCGCTACTTTCCATCTGTGGAGGATTCTAACAAAACTGCCGTGACAGTCTTCCTTAGTATCCCGGCCCCCTCTTAAAACATGCACCCTTCAAATAGATATTGTTTTCCCTAGACTCCAAATTCCTCAAAACTAAATTAGACTTAGGCAATACTAAACCCATTCTGAACTCCCAGATTTCCCACCGACCCCAGCTGCAGTCGCGTTGGGGGACGGTTTAGAACCCACACCCCCTGGGGCACAAATGTATCCTATTCACACATATACCCCTCACCCCCCCAGCGAATACGTATATTCAAGCGTATATTGTTTCGGGGGACCGTATTTATGAGCAGAAAGTGATCCCCTTGCGGCACCTCCCACAGGGCGAACTCCGCTTGCGTCATCACTTCCTCCCCGTGGAGCCCGTAGACGCACGCCATGGCCAACTTCAGCTGGAGTTGCCGAAACGATCTAATTGGGTCGCAAAAAGTGAAGCATTTTGCACCTGGAGTCTCCGTGACCCTTGAAAAAAGGGGTCATGGAGACTCCAGGCAGATTGCTTTTTGGAAGACTTCCAGTGTTTGCAAAGAATTCAGCAAGCGAAACATCGAAGCGAGTCCTCCAGTAGAAGTGTTTCCGAAATGTCTGAGCTGAAATGCTCTCCACGCCGGCTAGCCGACAGCATGTTGGACTGTTCGATTCGCCAGCCTCGAAAACATGCACGACTCCTCTCGCTCTCGCGGTGACCAAGTATAGCAAGTGAGAAATAGAGTTGTGTGTTCGCCCATCTTGTAATTATACATTTGCAGATCAAGAAAGGTTGTCGAGCAATAGCAACAGGTCGAACACAATACACTAACAAGTGGCGATGTGTCCAACGAATTACAGAACAAGCTGTGCATTTGAGCCAAGCAATTCCGACATCCTGATATACACTGCCTCCCAGCATTGCACAATAACATAATACGCAGCTCTGCCAAATACCCTGTACAGCTCTTCTGGTGTCTGTGTGTCCACTCACTGCATGACAGCTCCTCGAAACAAACGATGAAATCAAAAAAGAAGCTCCGAAACATGTGAAAGAGAAGATCATAGATACGTCCACACGGGAGTCTCGCGTTGCCTTATCTACTAAGTTGTGAGCCAGAGTAGTGTCGTGAAACTGCCAGTGACCTTCTACGGTTGAAGTCATCTTGTAAGCTTGCCGCGACTTACGCATGGTAAGAATCCCGCATGGTAGAATCCCCTCAATTCCGGACCAATCGCTACAAAAATAATGTTCATACTTAGTAGCCTAACAGGCAAGAGAGTTGCTACAGTAGTATCAAGGACATCCCTTGTTCACGTATGGCAGCATGGCAATTGAATGATAGCGTTCACAATGAAAGCAATGAAGCAAGCCAAAACCTGCCTTGAGTCCACAACCACCTTCCCTTGTTCCCTCCCCCTTTGTGAAAGGCAGTTTCAAATCACAAATACAAAATGGCCATAAAGTATGTTGACCGGCTTTGCGCGCTACACTGCAAACCACATGCGTGTCCATGTTGGCATGTTTGCCCGCGATTGGGTTGAGCACCCTGCACCCTAAAATAACTCCATGTGCCAATCTGCTCGGAACTGAAAACTGGGCTTCGCTGGCGGGTGGCCACTTGCTCCACCGGTCGTCGTTGGAACAACTGACAAAAATGCACCGCCCAAACGGCGGCTGCCTGCCGGCGTTTCGAGGCAGCGGCTCTGGCCGAGGGGATCTGAGGACGTGCGGAAGAGGTCCTCGTGGTCCTCGTCATCCACCTCTGAAATCCGCGTTGAATCGAATGTTGTGCATGCGGCTCGTGTTTTTGGAGCGGCATTTTTCGCATGGATAAAGAACTAAGGCATTGGGGACTGGCTCTTTTAATGTTGACCCCGGATTAATCAACCCCAGTCAATTCATATGGGGGTGTTCATGGTTTTAGTGGGGATTCGGATTCACTTTTGGAGGGGAACACCCCCATATTAACATAAACATGAAGCGGCATTGATCTCATGGATAAAGAACCAAGCCATTGGGGACTTGCCGATGGGATTCGCTTCTCAGGGGCCACGTCAGCTCAAAGAACCTGGTCAAGATAGCAGTTGTTGGAAGACATCCCGGTGTTCCATGATGCAAAAACAACGACGGGAACGCAATGCCGATGACCAAAAGGCCGAGTTGCCGCAAAGATCAGGAACACCTGGTTCGTTTGGTTCCTTCGCTTCGTCGCTACAGGATACCAATCATTTTGCCCAAAAGGGGGCGTGCAGATCCATTTTGCGGTGGAACAAATGATCCCAGGTCTTCCAAGGCTTGCTCTTGTTCTGCCCCTTGGCAAAAACGTGTCTTTCACCACAGCATGTCGCGCCAAATCGAACAAGTATTTGCTGGAATGTACTGTGAACGTATGGAGGTGACAATTGGTGTGAGACATGTCCATTGACCTATACAGTGTGGACAAGCGCATAACCCTCCACAGGCAACATGGTTGGCTTGGATGGAACCTGAACAACTAGGTCCTCCAGTAGAGAGGTTAGAATAAGGGTACCCTTTTTTCTGTAGTCTATTGTGAACCCTCCCCCAAAAAAAGGTAAAAGGGCGCTACTGGGGAACCTAGACAATGATCAAGTCAGCTTGACTTCTCTCGTTGCCGTTGCAATGGACATACGCTGAACATTTGGTTCGAACGGGTTGCTCCCCCACCGCGATGCCAGTGATTCTGGCATACCCCCAACCGGAACACCCGAGGCACGATGGAACCTCCGAACTGGATGGCGGAGACCTTTAGGCTTTGGTTCTCCTTCCTGACAAGCCGGCACGTCATTGTCTTGCGTATGTAGATTATTGCAATGTTTGATTGTTGCTCACCTCAACCTTGCGTGGTCTGCATCCTTGTCTTTACACCAAACCCTGACTCCCAGCAAGCCTTCTTTCAGCGCGGCTATTAGTGCGGCACACTGCCATCCATATTGCAAGAGCCCCAGGTTCAAGCTCTGTTGCTCCTGCACCTCGCTGCTGTCTCCGCCAGATGCTCCATCACCCCCAGGTCACAACAGACCCAGATTCAAGAATGGAAGCAAAAGCCCCGCCGGCGGTGGATTGGATGTGCTGAACGTTCCTCAGCGGCTCCTGTACCTGGCTGCTGTCCCCGCCATATGCTGGATCGCTCCAGGTCACAACGTCACCACATTCAAGAATGGCAGCAAAAGCACCCTCAGTTGCTTGGACATGCTGGACGATCCTCAGCTACTCTTGCACCGGGCTGCTGTCTCCGCCGTGTTCTGGATTACCCCAACACACAACAGCCCCAGATACAAGAATGGCGGCAAAAGCACCGGATGTTCTGGACGTTCCTCAGCTGCTCTTGCACCTGGCTGCTGTCTCCACCGAAGTTTGGATTACCCCAGGTGACAACAGTCCCACATTCAAGAATGGAAGCAAAAGCACCCTCAGTTGCTTTGATGTTCTGGACGTTCCTCAGCTGCTCTTGCACCTGGCTGCTGTCTCCAACGAAGTTTGGATTACCCCAGGTCACAACAGTCCCAGATTCAAGAATGGAAGCAAAAGCACCCTCAGTTGCTTGGATGTTCTGGACGTTCCTCAGCTGCTCTTGCAGCTGGCTGCTGTCTCCACCGAAGTTTGGATTACCCCAGGTGACAACAGTCCCACATTCAAGAACCTCAGTTGCTTGGATGTTCTGGATGTTCCTCAGCTGCTGTTGCACCTGGCTGCTGTCTCCACGGAAATCTGGATCACCCCAAGACACAACCGCTCCAAATTCCAGAATGGCGGCAAAAGCACACATAGTTGCTTGGATGTGCGGGACGCTCCTCAGCTGCTCTTGCACCTGGCTGCTGTCTGCGCCATCATATGAATGCCCCCAGGTCACAACAGCCCCAGATTCAAGAATGGCGGCAAAAGCACAGCTAGATGCTTGGATGTGCTGCACGTTCCTCAGCTGCTCTTGCACCTGGCTGCTGTCTCCGCCCCAGGCTGGGTTACCCCAGGTCGCAACAGCCACAGATTCAAGAATGGCGGCAAACGCACCGCTTGTTGCTTGGATGTGCTGGACGTTCCTCAGCTGGTCCCATAGGCTGGGTCACCCCAGGTCACGACCTCGCCCTCGCAGCCGTGCCGAGCGAACGCCTTGTAGTTGGCAGCCAGTTTGCCAAGCTGTACAACCGCAGCCACCACGTCCCCATTTTGCAAACCGGCCTCCCTCAGCGTGGCTGTCGAATCCAGCTGCTGGCCTTTCGCAGTGAGCCTCAAGCGGCGCTGGAAATGCTGCTGCGCTGCAGCCTTCAGCTCGCTGACGGGCGTAGCCGGTGAGACTTCTATGGAGCAACCATCTCCACTGGGCAAGTGAACGGCCACCTTCATGGTGCAGGAGGCGCTTCTGGGTGCATCCAAGTTGCCAAACATGAGATACAGACACAAAACATCTAGTCCTACTTGTGCGGGGGGTTCGAATCCTTCGCCACACTCGTGCAAGCAACGGTCCAATGGAGGGAATGGGGTCTGAGAACTCTCCAAGCTTTCTGGCCACACAGGGGTCACTGGATTTCCACAACAAAAGTTGCAACTGGTGGTGTCCCAGTTAGAACTGCAACGTTGAGGCTCCAAGAGGACAACCAGCACTTTGCAGTTCAGCTGAAGCCAACAACATTTTGACGGCGGTCCCTCTTCACGCATGGCCTGCCCCGTGAAAGCCCATAACTCTAAGGGTTGCTTCCCCATTCTTTCCAGGGATCCTTCTTTCTAGAAAACCACCAAAAACCCATGGGAAAACAGCTGGTTTTTTGAAAAGACCGGTTGAAAAGAATGGGGAATCAACCCCTAGAAGAACCCAGGAGGATAACGAAGCAATTTGCCGTTATTCTTCGCCTTAGGCTGCGGTTCCGGTAGGAATACGAGACTCCAGGGGGTCTGTTCCCACACGCCGTCAGGTCCGCAAAGGAATCGATTATGAGGGACCACTTGATGAGGACCCTGAGGACAAAAGCAATTTATCCAACAAAACCTGAGCTTGCAAGATTCAGTTGATTCTACCACATCATGCAGTCTTCAGACTGGGGGCGCAACCTGGGACATTTCGCGTTGTGAAAAGAACTGAAGAGAGACGCAATAGCAATTTCTAGTGCTGGTTCGGCGCCACGGCAGAAAGTACACACAGGCTCCAAGTCCTAACGCTGTCTACTGTTTAAACATCTTTCGACTTTGCCTATGACTCGTTGCGCGCCTCACTTCACTGAGAAAGTCTTCCTCAGTTGACCAAAACAAGCGTTTAAACGTGTTGTCTACCACTCCAATGCCTCACTTCCTCAGTGGATGGACCAAAACAGGTGATTAAACTGTTGTCTGCCACTAAAATGGTCTTCCCAATGGCAGGCGGGCCTTCTGGCATCCGACAAATCTGCTAAGTGCTGATAACTTTGCGACTTTGACCAGACGGAATGCGGAATTCGTAGAAAGAAGCCCAAATGAACACCCAAGGCTGCTGTTCACAATCGCGAAGGAGAGAACTGGTGGACCGAACACCCATGCCATTTGAGGGTCACGCCTGAAAAAAGAAAAGGAAAACAAAAAACATACACCAGCATAGACCCAGATGGCATAAAACAAGTCGAGGATTGCACACTGCTCATTGGCCAAATCATATCAAATTCAGGGACACTTCTGTGTGGAATTGAGAGGCTTCCTGGTGTGGAATTGAAAGAACAAAAACCTTAAGTGACTTCAGTGTTTTTGTTTGCTCCATTCGTGTGGGCAGCATAGGTGCTTGAAGTTTGGCACCGGTTGCGGGGTTGAAAAGGGCAGGATTTGATCGAGGGCTTCCTGCCCCAAACAGCACCCAAAGCAGCACCTGCATCAGCAGCCCCATGCCTCCCCCGGCCGTCACTCTCGCAAAGCAAGCATGCGCCAACCGTGACCAGCATCTGACAGCACCTGCACCAGCACCCCCAAAAACAGCACCTGCATCAGCACCCCCTAAAACAGCACCTGCATCAGCACCCCAAACTGCATGCCCCCGAGCACCTGGGTCACAATGCCACCTAGCACCCTGCCCTCAATCTTGCAAAAATGCGCCCACACCGTCACCAGCACCTCAAAAACACATGCACCAGCACCCCAAACAACAGCACCTGCAGCACCACCCCAAACTGCATGGCCCCTAGCACCCAGCCGTCGATCTCGCCAAAATGTGCCCACACCGTCACCACCACCTCAAACACCTGCACAAGCACCCCAAATTGCATGCCCCCTTGCACCCGGCTGTCAATCTTGCAAAAATTCGCCCACCCACCTCAAACAGCACCAGCACCAGCACCCCAAACTGCATGCCCCCATCTCGCAAATCACTTTCCCATCTTCATTAGAAGTGAAAACCCCTATAGTTTTCAGCTATTTGGGGGGGAAACAAAAATAAACGACTGCCTCCACCAAACCGGACCGGAAAAAGCAAACCCTTTTCACCCGGAAAAAAAAGGGGCCCTGGAGCCCCAGCGTAATGTCAGTACTTGCCTTTCCCTGTCGCTTGGAAAAACTCGGCCTCTTCGCCCTGGAATCTGCAAGGCGTCAGGGACGAATCCAGTGCATTTGGACGAACTTCTGATTTACCCAGCTGGCCTCTCTCGCCTCCCACCCGCTAGACCTAGCCAAGCAGCGTTGATGAAGGTGTTGCGGACCTTGGAGCGAAACCCGCCTTCTGCTTGCCCTGGTTCCATCTATAGATCTCTACTATGGACGAACGCCTGGAATTCAATAGCCAGCCGGTGGCTCCATATCGATTTGTTTGAGGTTGAAAGTTCCAAGCCGCCAGCCAAAAGGCCAAATCCAATGCTGTGCTCCCAAAGTTTGACAAACTAGGTTGTGCCTTGGCGTGAACGCTCTGGCGCTATGAATTACACTGGCCACAGAAGCGGTACCTCCCCTGGCTGGTACATGGTACCATGGGCTTTGCAATCCGAAAATCCCCCTTGAAATGGAAGTGCTTCCCAGCGTGCAATGATCCCCCACTACAAACAAACGGAATTCATCGCAAAAGTCCAGCTGGAATTCATTTTTCCCCAAATGGGCCGAACGGGCCGTGCATCACCCCAACTGCGTCAGCGCTCAGCTAGGCGGCGGTGAACGTCACATCTTCACCTGGCACAAGCGGGCACGACACGTGGGGCTTACCCGGTAGCCCCCTCATTCTGGTCAAAGTGTCTGTGTCAAAATGTGATGGTCGTTTTGAAGACGTTTTTCAGCCCGCCCCAGCTCAATTGGGTTGTAGTGTTTGAATCATGTTGGTCCAAGTTTGCGCTTGATTTGGTCGTAGTTACAAAACCTGGCCAACAAATGTTGGCCTAGTCGAGTCAACTCGACTCAACTCAACTCGATTTTTGCGGGGCCGGGCAGCTGGTTTCTTCCTGAGCCGAAGGCTGCGTCTGAAAGGATCGAAACGAAACACAAACTAGGACCGAAACGACTCTGGAACCAATTCCGGAAGCGGACCCAAACGACTCCGCAACTAGGACGGAAACGACTTTCAAACTAGGGCCAAAACGATGCCGCGCCCGGCTTACCCCCCGCCAGGGCTTGATTCCAATTCCATTCTTTTCAACCATCGTTCTTTTCAAAAACCGGATCCGTTTTACCTGGGATTCTGGAGGTTTCCTAGAAAGACTCGGTTTGTCTGGGTTCAGAATTGACATGGAAGCTACCCCTCGAACTTTTCTGGTCATCACCTCGGCCCCGAGAGAAAGCCCTAAAGACTCCAGACACGCACTCAAAGGCTCCTAGCGGCAGGTGAAGGGAGGGCTGCTTGCTTTGCTGGTACTTAGACCACCCAATTCAGCGAGGAAGTTTCCGCAGTTTTGCAAAAAAACACGTTTTTGTTGCTGTTGTCCGTGGTTTTAGTCACCGCTTTTCCAAAATCCAGCTTTCTAATGATAATGCTTTCTATGCGCAAGAACGGCGGGCACATCGGGGAAATCGGCGGAATTCGCCCGAACTCAAAGAAAGCAAGATTCAGCATAGCGGAGTGGTTCTTGTGTTTCGGCGTTCTTTTCCTCGCGTGCGGCGCACTTGGGCTTGTCGGAGGAAATGTCTGCCGCCGGAGTGAAAGTTCTGACGCAAGTTCCGGGTATACGCTCGTTGGTCTTTTGTTCAGCAATCAGGGCAACAAATGGGTGAGACACGATGAAACCACCAGGCCGCAGGTTCTGGTCCTTGGCTCCATTTACCGGAATTCGGTTGTTGGGTACCTATTTTGTGACCCACAGCCAAATGAACTTTTTCCAAGGCCGATTGCCTTGACGTGGAATGCCAGCTTCAAGCCATTTGCATGAGCACGCGAGCGAAAGCAAGATCGCCGCAAGTACACAGTCCTCGGGGACAACCCCACCATCCGTCTACAAACCTGTGGTGGTGCATGGGCCCCCTTGCACCATCACCCGATTGGTACATTTGGGCGTTTCTGAAAATAGAGGACCTCTTAAACTTCATCAAAATCGGTGGTTGCCTTCTTCCCTGCAACAAGGGACCTGAAGCCGATCAAGACTTTTAGACCGGACGCCGCCTGCAGGACCCCTTGGTTTTTGTTGCCTCCATCCAGTTGCGACGTGTCATGGGAGGCTCATTTTGACCCATGGCCAAATGTACACCTTCGAACAGTTATAACGTTCACATCCTGCCAGCTCAGGTCAAGACGACCCCGGTAAAGTTGAGGGCACCTTGTGTTGGATGCAGTCAGCCCAAACAAACTGGAAATACAATGGACATATGGCTATGGGTCAAAATCAAACCACCGAGGGACCGCTTTTGTGTCCATCTTCCAGGGTTCCATTTTGAGCTCCTATTTTTGACCCACCCCCATATGGCAAGAGCTTCACCCGGCAACTTAAACATGGACCCGAACCGAGAAACCCACAAGGCCTCGCTGTGCCACGGCGGCCATGGGAGGACCTCAGGTACGCTCAAGCAGAGGCTCGAGCTCCGGGAGCTTCAGACGGACCAGGAAATGAGCGATTGGAGTGAAACGTCTCCAAGAATAGCAGCTGAGCCATGTCCAAAACGTGTCGTGATTCCCTATGTCGCATCCCTCTCCTTACGCCGCTTCCTTACGCAGCCTTACGCGCTCCGTGCTTTCGCTTACGCGGCACATGGGCTTCAAATAGGCCTTGCGCAGCCCTTACGCCAGACAGACCGGATGCAATTCCGTGGAAGCGGCTTACGCGAGCACTTTTTCCTTTCACGCAGATGACGAGCCGTGGAGGAAGATGAAGAGGAGGAAGAACAGCTTCATTGCAGCGAACTTGCGAGTCAACGCATTGTCGTCTCCGGCTTTGGGCCCTTCCAGCTCCCAAGAGCGGAGCTTATCGTAGAAGCGTCGTCTCCAATTGCAAGTATCCTTCTCGTTTGGCGGGGTCCTGCTTTCTCGCGATGGCGCTGCCTTGTGGAGCAAGGCATTACGCGAAGCTTACGCAAGCCTTACGCGGAAAAGGCCCAAACATTCCCTAGTTTTGCCTTGTGTAGTAGCAAAGGACAATATTGCTTTATAAGGCCCAATGGGTAGATATAACAAGAAACACATGGATATGACAAACAACATGACTGAAGAAACACATAGGATATTCCAAACAACCTGACTGAACAATAGCTTACGCGGAATGCCTGCGCGACATGTTTTTTTCGACAGTTGCTTACGCCGCCTTACGCCCGTGCAGGTTTTGCTTACGCCACGGGTCGATATGACATAGTCCCTGATAAACATGTAGACGGAGGGTTTTGGACGTTGCACAGCTGATGAATGGGAGAGATGGAGCTTGATGGAGCCCAAAGTCAACCAAGGCTTCAACAAAGCACAACTTGTTGACCAGGGGCTGAGTCATGACAAACCAAACTGGCCCTGTTTGAGACGTCTGGTGACATGTTCTGCCTTTCAAGGGGACCAGGTCCCCAGCATTGGGTCCATCTTATTTTTGTGTGGGGGAAAAACAGCTTGAGAAAACCACTTACCCACGAGAAAACAATTTGAGTATTTGAGAAAACAATTTGAGAAAACAACTTGAGAAAACAATTTGAGAAAACAATTTGACAAAAATCCAGCCCTCCTGACAAACAAATGTTGCCAGAGTTCTCTACACATCAGCCGTGATCCCCGGAAGGCCGCCCGGCGGAGCGTGATCTGGAGATGTCGCGCCTTGCAGGGATGGCACGCTCGATTTCTTGGACATCCCAACCCGATGCAACCCAACGGGTCCAGCTGGCTGCATGGAATTCGCTCCCCAAAACCAGTCTGGCGCCTGGCAAGTTGGACCTGTTCCCTTGCACTCATCCCCCAAAGCGCTTGGACCCGAAAAAACTCTCTATCGAACTATGAGAAAGCACCAGGTCAATCACGTAAGGCCTTCATCCATCTGAGGGCTTCGAATTCCACGTGTTCAGAAACTGCTTACGTCGCTACGTCATATTTCCGCTACGGAAAAGCCGGGAAATCGTGTTTGACTATTTGACGTGCCCATGCTTGCAATCTTAAGACCAAGAGGCCGTCGTTGAAATCCTGGTTATTTGTGTCGGACAAACTGATTGATTGATTCTCCGCTCCTCTGACCGAAGCAAAACAACGCCCTGGCTTGATCACTCAGAGCCTTCCGATGCCAAGATCGGGCAAACGTGAGAAGTTGTGCCCAGATCGATGCACTCAGTCCAACTACTGAAAGAGCCGAAACCGAATGGAGACTTTTCCGCTAGGTCAACCAAAGCGACGAGTGACAAGCGCCCCTCCCTAATCAGGGTTCCTGGAGCGAAAAAACACACAGACACATAGCATGAAGCTGGCAAACAAAAGTGTTTGTCTTCAGAATGCTGTTCGATCCTTTTGGTCTTCGTAAAACAACATGCGGGAAGGAATTTTGATACACACCCAAGGTGTCTTTGCCAAGGCTCAGCTTCCTGCAAAGTGGTCCACGATCCAAGCCAAAACCTCATACGTTTCCCTTGCGCTGGTTGCCAAGGACATCCCGATGTCCCGATGAAAATGCGAATCTGATGGCCAAGCTGTCCCTGCGACAACGTTGCCGATAAACTGTGTGCGAAAAAAGTTCCAGGCGCTTAACATGGCTCAATAGATGTTTAGCAGGAAGTGGGTGTTGATGTTCATGCCGACGCTCTGAGAATTTTCAAACCTATCAACCTCACCCATCCCATTGCCAGGACCACACCATCTCTTTGAACCCCCCATGTTCCCTCTTTTTGACCCCCCCCCTCCTTTTTCTTCACAACTCATGCTGGCTTGACGCCCAAAAAAAAAAAAAACTATCAACCTCATCCCACCTTCCCAAGTTGCCACCCCGAGCTCGATCCGCCGGGCCCCGAAACCCCCGGAGGAAGCCCGGCCTTGCAAGTCTCACAGGGCTCGCTGCTCGCTCCCCGGCTGGCAGACGCCAATACCACGCATCCTCTGAGCCAAAACCGGCGAGACGTGCCTCCGTCGCTTTTTTTTCGCGGAGCGATCCGCGTGGGGCGATCCGTTTCAGCCACACGTGTGAGCTACGAGTGGAGGGGACCTGTAGGTGACTTAAGCAAGAAAGCAGCGCGCATATCCTGGACAGGAATATGATATGTGCTGTTTTGGCTTTTGTAACTTGAATCAGGCGCAATGCTGTGATCACCAGAGCAACAAATAGGAACACGGACGCGGAAAGCAAAGCCACACTAACCAGAAAGGGCAAAGC